AGGCAAGGACGGTAGCATAGACGCCGGAATGGACGATCAGATGAACGATGGACAGACCGTCGGATGGACGACGCTTGGACGGACATGGAAAGCTTATAAATGAAGCTAAATCGACTGAGCCACTCTTAGGAATCTAGGTTTCGTTGCTGACTCCGTGTTCATCAACCCATTATATCCGCTTATATGCTCTTTCCCACCAATATTAAGTAAGCCCAAACTCAATCTTCAACTAATAACTTTGCGCCGCTTCAATCTCACTCTAAAAACCGCTAAATTCTCAACGCTGTTCAGCGAATTTGGCGTCGCTAAGTGCACGGTCGGCCTAGAACTTATTGCGCAAAGTTCAAAGGTTGGCAATTCGCAAAGAGCGGGCTGCAAAATTGATAATCCAGCTCGACCAAGAGGCGGCGGATAAAGTTTTGAGTTGCACAGCAGACGGAGCGTACGCCGTGGCGGCTCCGCGGCCTCGTTTATTAAGTGCCGGCAAAAGTTGCCAGCGCACACAAAAATGATAATTGGCCGCTGCCACGCCCTCCCGCATCTTGCGCCAGTTGCCGAAACGTTGCATAATTAACACACAAAATAATGATAAAGTTCAAGACGTTGAGTCAGCGTTCAACGATTTCGTATTACAAGTTCGCCATGCCGAGGCTAACGGCCCAGCTTCTGGAACTCCCATTCGCGATTGTCCAGCGGGCAGACGGAGCGCGATTTGAGCCAGCGCGAGATGCAATGGAAGTGGTAGGCGTGGTTGCAAACGCCCCAGGCGACGGTGCACTCCTCGAAGGAATTTTGATTGGGATCCGCTTGGCATTCGATGCACAGATCCATTATCGAATTGCGGCAAATGGCGCAGGTATCTACGGCAATATCTACGGAGGTTCACGGAACGGTAAATGTGTAACAGTCAGCCGGATATTGTTTAATAAGCAGCTTAGTGTGCTACTTATGTCTCACCCCATGCCCACATTGCAACCGCATTCCATTTCTTGACCGTGAAGCGTTTCTTTGTCTTATGGCAGTCGGCACTGCACATGGGCTTCTCTTCCAGCTCCTCCTCGTCCTGCTCCTGCATCCCCTCGCCTTGGTCTGCCTTCAATGTATTATTTACCCCACCCGCCTGCTGCTGCTGCTGTCCCTGTGTATCGCTGTTCGCCTCTGCCGTCGGGTCTGGGTGGAGTGCCGAGCAACTCGATTCGCTCGAGTCTTCCATTAATATAATTTTGTTTAGCTGCCTATGATATTAACTAATCAATTCCTATTGTTTATCTGACTTGGGAATCTACTCAAAGGGGAGAGACTACTGTGTTGGCTTGCTAATCGCATAACCCAGGCAATCGTTGCTCATGTTTAATGCTTATGCTATCAAGAGCGGAAACATTCGGCTGGGCCGTTGTTCAATATATAATATGAGAATGTTCTTGCATATCAAGTGTGTACAAGATTATTTTTAAATAAATATTTTGCACTTGCATAATTGTATAGATATATAAACATATTTTTTATGTATATTTTATTTATTTATATATATATATATAGATATTTGTTTATTTATATATATTTACTTATTTAATTATTTATATATATAGATATTTGTTTATTTATGTATTTATTTATTTATTTAATTATTCTTTTACTTTTTATTTATTTATTTGTTTATTTATTCATTTAATTGTTTTTTTATTTATTATTATTATTTTTTTTTTTCATTTTTTCATTTTTTATTTTCTTTGAAGAAATATTTATTCAGCCCATTACACGTTTCATTTGCTCTGCTTTTTGATTTGTTGTTTTCTAATTAGTTCACATAGAAGTAAATTCATTTGTTCTCATATTAAACTTTTCATTCATTCTACTATTCATTACATCTGCATTCAATTCATTTTACTCGATTTTCCTACCATGTTTATTGCTTTTATTGGTTTTACTCCTTTCATTCTGGTTTGATTCACATTTACTTTTACACACATAAATCCCAATTCAAATGCTATTCATATTTATATAATAGGGAATATATACGTAGATAACATCCCTGGATGAATGGAATATAAATAAAATAGAATTTAGGCCAAATTCGAAGAATTATAAGTTTAGTTAAATTCTTCGTATTCGTTTCACTTGTATCACTCGTCACTTTCCTCTCCTTCTGTTTCAATTTTTGCACATGTTAAGTGTGCTCGTCAAATCCCACTCCTGCTGATAGTATTACTAATAGGCCTTTAATATATTTTACCTATAGCCTTTCCATGCATTGATCTTTCATTTTTGTTACCATATTCTCTCTCTTTATATTCACCTCAACTACTCGGTTAACATTGCTCTTCAATATTGTTTCCATATTGCATAATTTCTTTGTATCTCCGTAGTTATCTCTACAACTAATACTACAGTTATTCCACTCGTTCCCTAGGTTCCATCATTCGTTTGCTTTCTCCCTAAACCTAGCTCTTCTAACCAGTTTCTTCAATTCTCATGCTATTCCTTCTTCCCTCTTCCCTCTTCCTGCATGCTTCTCTTATTTCCTTCACTTGTTCCACATTACGCCAGTTAAGTCCTCACTCGACACTTTGCTCTTCATTTCGTCGGTCTCTCATTACAGTCGGATTATGTTGGACCGTCCAGTTGAAGTGTGCGTTCGTACTCCGCCTCCATATTCTTCGCGCTCCAAACACTAGATGGCGCTCTAATTACGTGACGAGCAATTTAGTGCAGCATCTATGGATGGCTCCATTACGCAGCTTCCAGGCTTCTAGTCAAGGTCCTGCTGCAGTGCATTATGCTTATTTAGGGTTGTGCCCCATGCGCTGAAAGCGCACCCCTCACCTCACTCTGCACCCCTGCACTCCTACATACCCCACTCGCCACACCCCTTTCGCTGCACAAGATGCAGCGCAGCTTTTTTTTCGCTCTCTGTTCGGCTTCGCTCGCCAAATGTTTTTCTATGACGCTTGAGTCAACATTAATTTAAATGAGTTGCCACTTAACTTTTAATTAAAAATTCACTTTTTATTTATTTAGCTGGCAATGGAATGGACTCGACCCAAGTCAGCCCAACTCGGCCCACATTCAGCTACCACGTTTTGCCGCCTGCGCTCCTTCCGCGCTGCTATGCACTTATGGCTGCTGCATAGCCAGCCGACTCGCTGCCAGTTTGATTTAGAAGCTCTGCTCAAACTAAAATAAAAAATGTTTCAGCGAAAAAATAAAAATGCAGAAGAAAATGAGGCAAAATAATAAATAAAAATTCTACCGTCAGACGCGAACCGAGCGCGCGCTCATACAAATTAAAGTTTGTGTTATTTTATTCTGCTTGAAATGCAGCCAAATGGTTTTCTATTTAATTTTCGTACGCTTTAATTGCCATCTAAATGAATAAATAAGTGCAAATAAGTCAGTTCGCTCGCAACTTGTATGACGAGTCGCTCTCCCCCTCCCTCTCTCACTCTCTCTCTGTCTCACTCACACTTAAGTATGGGATTACCACGCATATCCTGTGTACCCTCTCTCTCCCTCTCTTTCCCTCTCTTTCCTTCTCTCTCTAACTCTCTTGATCCGCAACAATTTCCGTAATTAATTTGCAGTCGTAATTAAAATGCTACGCGTTATTTTTCTTGCATTTAATTGATATTTTTTCACCACAAAATAGTATTTCGTGTGACTAGCGTATGTGCGTTTGCTGCGTGTGCTATATATATATTTGTATAGCTAAATACTTCATCTTAAATGTAAAAAATATTCAACAATATTTAAATTAAACTTATCATAAACTGTGAACTAATGCCATCGAGGATATTCAGAGCATGAATCGTATCCTTTTTATGATTTGTTTTACAATTCCTGATAATTGTCTAACATTTTATTATCTAATGCTTTATATATATATTTACTTATTTATTTATTTATTTTTGCTTTATTTCTTTTGAGCAATTAATATATTTTATTTTTACTGTATATATTGAAATTATTTTATGAAAAATTTCATGTGTTATTTTCCTAAAAACATAATTTTATTTGTATCTTTGCCTGATACATATTTATCATTATTTAAAAAATGAAAATAAAAAACGTGATTTATCAAATCGAATCATACTACTTACCATAGCTAAATAAGATTTATATTGAATTTATTAATTGCAAAAGAATATTTTTTTAGTTGCCTGAAGGCCTTTGTCGCTCTGGCTTATCAAAAATTGTTATTTAGAATTAATTCTTGATAACAATAAATAAATAAAATAAAATAAATAAGTAATTGTTTTAGTATTTAAAAATC